AACCAGCATCATGACTGAAAGGGACAGAGACAGGTTGGCAGAAGATGTTTTCTTCAAATAAACTGAGTGGCCACAGTCTCCATCTGCAGTTTCTGGGCTCTAACAGGTGCAATCCCAAACAGGCTCCAGCTCCAGTGCTTCTGTGTTAGAAATTCTTATGTCACTTACTGCTCAGAATAGTCCAAAATTGGAATTGTTTGTCAGCATAATCAGCTGTGAAATTCTTAACCTCTTGAAGCTCTTTAACCTATTCAAGAAAAGAGGTTCCTCTAAGCTGCTCTTCTGTCTCTGATTCTAAAATAAGCAGGAAAAATTGCAGGAAATCATCACAACGCTTCAGTATACATATTTTCAAGAGACTTAAAGTTCTTATTGTCATCATTTCAGCAAACTTTGTCATTTTTGTCTTCCTTTACCCTTATTTCCCCAAAACAGCTTCCAGAAGTCATATGCTCAGTACGTATGAAGAGCCCAATATAACAAGGTGGTATGGACTTGAAAAGGCAAGGCTGTTTCAAATGTCAGTTTTCCAGATGGATATAATACTCAATATGCAAAGTGATGCTTCTTTGGAAAATGTAATAAAAAGCTTCTAATTTTAAAATATCTTGATAAGATTAAGTAAATTATGCATATTTGAATAGCTTTGTTTTCAAATATTGTTGCAGATGGCACCACTCTGCCAAATGTTTTTTCCAAAACCTGTGAAATAATTTTTTCTCTTTAAGTAATGTGACACTTCTGTTAATGTTACCTCAAATAACAACCTGCTGTATGGATCAATAAAAAGAGCAAGCATGTCAGTATGTCTTACTGTAATGCACCCTTGTTGGTGGATAGTGTTATGAATTTCTTCTCGTGTTAGGCATCCTTCAAAGGATAGAAATGCGAAGTGGATTGAAGTGTCAAAAATTATCACAGAAGGGACACTGGGTTGGTTTCATTGAAGCATAGAGTTTATTTTCATCAAAAATACCCCAAGAAATAAGTTGCTCTGTCCTGTAATAAAACAAGAGATGTTTAGTCTGACAGGAAAAGTGTGATAGGATACAGATAGCTGTGAAGTTGAACTTTATTTTATGAAATGGAAAAGTCATGCTGCCCCTTTACTATAGAAGTTGCACATTAACTTGTTTAGAATGTTCTTCTTGTGGATTTCTGACTGTAAAACTTTTTAGTGTGCTTTTATGTACAGGGATTTTACTGGACATTATTATTCTTTTATCATAAATGTCTTTGTCAGATTCATAGAGCTGGAAGTTTTCCCAGTGTAATAGTTTTAATTATGTTTTTCTCTAGTGAGACATGATCAAAATTCCAGCTTTCCCTGCAGTTTGGCTTGGCTGCGGCTATATATGTGTGGTTATATGTGTGTGTGGCTGAGAGACGCAGGTCACCGCTGTGTTTAGTTCCTGTGCTGCCCAGGGGTTTCAGTGAGGGGGAGGTGATGTTATTTCAGCTGGTGTTCCATTTCCAGTTGAAGTACATATGCGTGCTTACTTTAGCTCTTGACCTCTACATGCATGCCCTTTCTTTCCCAGGATGCTGTCGTGACTTTTTGAACACTCTGGCTTGCAGAGTGGTGCATGAGAAACATACTGGTGGTCATTTTCTCAGCAGAAGTGCCTCAGTAGTGATGGTTACGGAGCTGTTTGCCTGTGAGGCTGTGCTAGAGCGTGCAAATAGGGGACAGTTACAGCGCGGCAGCGTGCAACAGCCTGTGCATTGCTAGGGACCCTGGATGTTCATTGTGTCTTGTCTTTAAAACCTCTTGCCTGTGTTGCTTAGAGTATGCTAGAACATGATCTAGCACATCTTGAATATTTTTGTGCTTTGGTACGTTTCCCAAGCTGTACTGGTATTGCTTGGTTTTAAACAGTTCCCCAGTGTGACTGAGGGGCTGCTCTTATTGGGCAGCCTGAAATATCTCAGGGCAGAAATAGGATTCTGGTCTCTGGTGTTGCGGCTGAAATAGTTTGGAAGTGTACTGGGGAGAGCATGCAGAGGATGTGGCTGAGGGTAGGCAACATCTGCCCCAAATTCTCCAGGGCAGTATTGTCTGGGTGTGAGTCACATTCCTCTTGCAACTGTGAGGACAGTGATTGTGATGTGCGAGCGATTGGGTAGTTTTTAATTGTGAACATAATAAAATCCCATTCTTGTATATGAAGCCCATTTACCTTAATTCTGCATTGCAGCATCACCAGTTCTGATGTTTTACCTTGAGCTCGAAAAATGTATGTTGTATTTCAGAGTCATTAAATTAACTTTCTCATCAAATTGTTACCATACAGAGATCAATGAACTCTGAAGCAAAGCACCCTAGTCCTTCAGTTTTTCTGTCTCTTCTTATACCGCTTTTTATGCGGCATTCAATCTTGCAGATTTTGTGATTAGCAGAGATTAAAAGTTGTAGTCAGAACTCAGGTCATTGGTACAGTGCTGGCAGTGCTGAATCGATCATTGAAATTGTAATGAGTAAAGATGACACCTTTAAATGCCAGTAGATCAATTTACTGAGTGTGACAGCAAATAAATAATGCAGCTGTCTGCCAGATAGACATGCAGAGAAATTCATAGAACTTGGGAATGAATAGCTAATAATTTTGTTTCAGAATTTTGTGAAAAATATTTATACTTGTTGCTCATTAACACATTTTAAAGGGAATTCCTTTGGCTTAAGGATCTAAGGTGCTTGGTAGCAAGTAAATAAGAGCAAACAAATAGTCTGTCTGACTTTGCATACATTATGTATGGTCAATCCCATGTCTATAAAAAATTCAGGTGAGCTTTAGCTCTCCAAGCAGCAGGGATTGGGCGGGATGGGGTAGGACGGTGTGAGCATAGCATTGATCTGCTTTCTTGACTGTTCATGTATCAGGGAAGGAAGCCAATGTACAGTATGTGTATTGCTTCCTTCAGTCAGAAGGGACTCCATAATATCTTACTGGGACATTCAAGGGGTAAATGATCAAGCTGAAAAATAAGTTGATTGTGGATCCTAAATCTTGTGGCAGTTTCCATTTAAAACATCTGTCCCAGATGGCTGTTACAGATGGGTGACACAACAGGTTTATTCTCTGTGAGTAATATCCTATGGTTTGAATTCATGCAAAGCACTAAAGACCTTTGGTTCTTTTCAGAACAAGTATGTTCAGTTTGGGAGCATTAGGAAGTGATAGGCTTTGAATTTTCAAAAATGTTGAACACGCATTTAGTAGTTACTTTGCATGAAATTTGAGTCTTCAGTTTGCGTCAAAAAAAAGGCTTGTGCGCTTCTTGCATAAAGTCCTCCTGATCTGCTGAAGTATTTTATCTGCGTAGGCCTGTTAAATGGTAAGATCAACCAGTATATTCAGTGCACAAACACCGTGTGAGAGTTTTTGGTCCATTTCCATCCGAGTGCTAGTGCTGCCTCCTGGAACATATGTGAGGGCAGAGCAGCAAAAGTGAAGTCTGTTATCCAGTACAAGTTATTCAGCCAGTTACTGAATAACTGCTATGGTATTGCATTACCTCAGAAATGGATCCTAAGTTGCGGACCTCCTTGGATGAAAATGGAATAACTATGGCAGGATAATTCCAGCTGCTGTGTGCCAGGCTATATTTGGTGTCCTTGTGCTGATTGTTTGGGACTTCATGGAACATTCCCGGTGGTGACAGACGCTGCAGGCAGGCGCTAAATGAAAATAAACAGTTAAAACCCTGCTGCTAAGCTTGACACCATGTCACATTACTGATTTGACACAGACCTGTGCTAGTATCTAGTATTTCTATAATCAACCCTGTTGTGGTCTTGTATGGTAGGGGTTAAGGATATGTAACCTTATTTGAATTTCAAAGAGCGTGCTAGGGGACCATCTAATATTTTATGATGTCCTTCCATCTGTTG